AATGCACAGTGACAGGAAAGCATGAGCCCTGATTGAACCTCCTTTTTTTTAATGGCACAGCAACCTGTTCATATCTCCCTTTTTATCCCACTCAGCCAAGCAACTCCTCATATCCACAGAAGACTGAAGAGGTTGAACCAGATTCTGCTCATGGGCTCAGGGGCAGTGGGTGAAGTGCCCTCTGACAGCATCCTGGCAAAGGGCTGCCATCGCAGCCAGGGACTGGAGGAGCCCCCCAGGAACGCTGGCTGGCCTGTGGGAAGAGAGCAACAGAATTGTGAGGGTAACTGTGCAGGGTCTGCTTGGTCACCACGGTGGTAAGCAGCCTGGCCCATGTATAAAGCTTCCGGTTAGGACACCCGGCCTCGCTCAGAGATTAGAGACTACCCGGGATTAACAGACATTTCATAAAAGCCTCTAATGTGAAAGAAAAGACTGAAATAAACAGAAAACAGAAACTCAGAAGGGATGAGACAATCCAAGAAAAGGGGGATATTTGGAGAGCAAAAGTGAACTCTGGGAATCATGAGAGCAGACATTAAGCACATTCATTGAAAAAGAAAAAATTGATAAAAACCTTAAAAATGTAGTAAAAAGACTTTTAGATGGGAGAAAGGTGAAAACCAAGAAGAAAAATAGAGAATTACTTCAGTGCATCCCAATACCTAATAATGGAGACTTGGATAAAAAGAGATCAGTAAAAATAGAGAAGTTTTACAAAAAGTATTATTAGACCTCCCCCACACACAACTGAAGGACATGAGATTGCAGATTGAAAATATTCATGAAATGCTCAACACACTCAGGCCTGTCACTGAGACATTGCAAATGGCAGGGGAATCAGAGGTTCCCACCAGCCCAGAGGGTGTGAGAATAGTCACAGAGAAGGGTCAGGACTCAGAAAGGCACTAGAGCTTTCTCTACAGCAACCAGAACCAAGGACAATGGAGAAACAGCCTAGGAAACCTGGGAGGAAACACTTTAGATTAGGTTTGTATCCTTCCAAACCATCGACTGGATATGTATTAAAGTCAGCTTCGCAGGGAGGCCTTCCTGACCACCTTATTCATTATTTCAGCACCCATTTTCCCCAACAGTTCATTCTCCCATCCTTGCTTCCTTTCTGTTCTTGAGCATTTTTCACTCTACAGTTGATGCTTGAACAATTCAGGGCTAGGGGCTGACCCCTACACAGTTGAAAATCTGAGTATAACTTTTGACTCCTCCAACTGCTGCTAGCTTACTGTTGACCAGAAGCCTTACCAATAACAGAGTGGGCAAAAGTGGGTTTACAGCTGTGAGTATGCGAAATACAGAGTTTATTCTTGTATTACTATTTAATTGTATTTTCCATATGAATAGTTGTAAAACTACTTTTGCCTCACCCTGTCTACACAGTTGATGAACACATATTGTTATAAATATTATATTCTATATTGATATGCTAAACTAAGCTAGAGAAAAAGAAAATTTTATTAAGAAAATCATAAGGAAAAAATACATTTACAGAATTTATTGAAAAAAATCTGCATATAGGTGGACTCACACAATTCAAACTGCTTTCAAGGGTCACCTGTATAATTCATATTTTAATAAGTGTTATTGTTTATCATCAGTCTCTCCCTTTAAAATGTAAGCTTCATAAAGTCAGGAATTTTTAAAAATGTTTTTGTTCACCGTGGTATTCTTAGTACCTCTAATATGACTTACTACATAGTAGGTTCTCAGTAAATGAATGAATGAATGGATGAATGGATGGATGAATGACTTATTAGTCATCAAAAGGAATGTTCATTTGGGGTCTGGCTGACCTATAAGAGCTTCGGCTACATGATGTAACAGCCCAGTGACCTCCTTCCCACTTTGCATACACATTAGAACTACATTCTGAAGCGGCTCTTCCCTTGACTAGAGCAGTCCTTTCCATTCAGTGTGAGCAGCTCAGCTTCCCCTCTCTGCCCATCATAGTTTTGATCCTCAGCTTCTTCATGGGGTTAGTTTTCCAGAATATCCATGCTGTTACACATTCTCAGACTGCAGAAAAAATCTTTCAAGCCTCTGAGCTCAGATCGTGCAACGTTTCTGTCCCAAAGGGGAGATGTGGTGGCTGCCCATGTGATTGCTATGCCGTGTCAAAAGGCCAAAGCCATTCCTGAGGTCGGGGCCCCAACCATGGCTGGGCGAGGCCCCTGCCCACGGGCCACTTATGGCCTCACTACAGTCAAATATCATGGCCTCACTTCCCCAAAGAGCCTGGCTTTCATTCCCACATCTGCATTCTGTACGTGTGTGTGCTTTAAATAGAATTTGTAGGCTCTGAGTAAAAAAAAAAATCGGGCCTACACTAAGGTGACCTCAGGTTCTGGCTGGTGCAGCTGCCAGCTGGGTATACAAGTCCAGTTACAGATCATGACAACCCAGAAAAGACGGGGGAATGATGCCTTTATAAACAGAGAATAGTCTTTTTACACTTGATTCAGCTTGGTTTCTCAGTTCAGGAAAGGGATTTAGAAATGCTTAAACTCAGAAGGAATGCTCTTAATATATGATGGCGTTTTACTGGCACAGTGATGAGAGCCAGTGCTGAGTTCGTGCTGGCTGCTCCGGATTCACAGAGGAAGGACTTGGATCCTACACTAGTTCTTTATGAAGAAGGAAAGAAGACCGGAAAATGAATTTATAGGATGTCTGCTATGTGTCAGAAACAGCATGCGCATACAGCAGGTTCTCAATAACATTAAGTAACAACTTTGATGAGATGCCCTATGAACTTAACTCTTGTTTATATCAATTAGCCTAGGGTAAAATTGGTTTCATTATACATCGTTCTGCTTCAGGTTGTAGAACCTATGAATGATATTAAGTGAGGACTTCCTGTATTTCATTTAATCAGCACAGCTTCTCTTCAGGTCGATGTTATAGCCCCACTTCACAGATTGGGAAAAGGAAGCTCAGAAGGTCCCAGTACCTTACCTAAAGTTACAGCTAGTAAATGACTTAACTAATTTACATATCCAATTGCATCCATCCACAGAACCAATTATAAATAACTAGAGGCCCAGTGCATGAAATTCGTGCACTGTGGGGGGGGAGGGGGGTTGGAGAAAACCTGACCATCGGGTTCTGATTTTTGGTTGTTTTCCAGATGTAAGAAACAATTATAAATAACTAGAGGTCCAGTGCATGAAATTCGTGCACTGTGGGGGGGAGGGGAGTTGGAGATCCCTCAGCCCTATCTGCACCCTCTCCAATCTGGGAGCCCTCAGGGGATGCCCTACTGATGG